TAAATCATATAATGCAATGCAATCCAATTAGAAATGAATAAATAAATGTTTCTCAAAAGCCTGAAGTATCATATTTGATACATTTTAACAGTATTTTGATGTGTTTCTTGATTTTGAGTGATGATCAAGTAAACCCAAGTTGCTTCAATTAAAAAGCTATTCTTATGTTTACTTTATGAAAATCGGTAAAGATTTCACTGCAAAAAGTGAAATGATAATGCTAAAAAATATAAAGTATCAATCAGACAACAGAAGGCATGTAGTAGATTGTGCAAAGTTTTGATCACGTTGATACTTTAAAAGCCATAAAAATGTGTGTATCAAATATGATACAGCAGGCTTTATAGGGTTAAGATGTCTTCAAACCTCATGATGCTTTGGATTTAGAAGTTGTCAGCCAGTTACTAATCCTATTCTGGTTTATATGATCCAAAGTGCACACCCTTGTGCCAAATATCTAAACCCTATATTGCCTGATTCGAGGATGTGAAATATTTGGTGGTGGGCAAACATCAAGCAAATCCATCTGACTCAGCTTTTTCCAAACATGCCGGGTTTATTTGCTTATAGCCACATCTAATTTGTTGTCGACTTCTGTGACAAGCAGTTCAGAGTATCATTTTATGGACTTTCACAATCATATCCTTTATTGACATGTTTACGTCACGCTCAAGCTTACAAGTACAGACAAAAATATAGATGTTGCCAATAATGCACTATTGTAGCTTCAGGGTGATTTTTGCTCAATGAGTTATGACAAAATGATGACAGATCTGTAACATGTAATAACAGAGTGAAACAGTGATCCGTTGCCCCACTTGGACCAATTTCTTAAGGCAAATAAGTTATATAACAAAAAAATATATAAAACCATATTGTCCGAAAAATGTGAAATCACATACTGTTTTATTCCCTTACATATTTGCTTTCATTAAACACACACATAGCCTTACTGTAATTTATTAGTCAGTGATGGTTCATGCATTTAATGGTTCAATTATTTATCCAGATGGAACTTTGAGCAAGTACAGGTCTACATACTACTGCCAATACATACACGACACGCTACTGTGAGCAAGTAAGACATGCTGCTGTCGTACAATATAGCGTACATGAATTACCTGTAGTAAATCTATACAAGTGGAGCTTGGGAGGGTGGAGTTTTGGGGGTTTTTTTGAAAGCGCATTGCAACTGCTACAGCAAATGCTGACCGAGTATTTGAAGGTTGAGCAGCAAGCTCATTGGCTACTGATAGCAGGAACCAATCAAATGTGCCCTTCAGAGAATGATCTGATTGCAAGCAGATTGAATTAAGTAAAGACTCTGGTGTGGCATCCATTACATCTGGAGACTCTGGAGACCATGAAGGCTGAAGCTAACACAGGACTGAGCTCTGGGGGAGAAGTGGGCTCTGGAGTGGACTCTTGGGCTGAGGCTGGCCCTGGAGCAGACTCATGGGCTGGAGCGGGCTCTGGAAAAGACTCATGGGCTGAAGCAGGTTCTGGAGAAGACTCATGGGCTGGAGCGGGCTCTGGAAAAGACTCATGGGCTGAAGCAGGTTCTGGAGAAGACTCGGGGGCTGGAGAGGGCTCTGTATTGGATTCATGTGCTGAAGGTTCTGGGTTCTGGAGCGGACTCAAGGGCTGGAGCAGGCTCTGGTGTGGACTCAAGGGCTGGAGCAGGCTCTGGTGTGGACTCATGTGCTGGAGCAGGCTCTGGTGTGGACTCAAGGGCTGGAGCAGGTTCTGGTGTGGACTCAAGGGCTGGAGCAGGTTCTGGAGCAGACTCATGGACTCGAGCGGGCTCTGGAGCGGACTCGTGTGCTGGAGCAGGTTCTGGAAAAGACTCATGGGCTGAAGCAGGTTCTGGAGGAGACTCATGGGCTGGAGAGGGCTCTGTATTGGATTCATGTACTGAAGCAGGTTCTGGAGCGGACTCAAGGGCTGGAGCGGGCTCTGGTGTGGACTCAAGGGCTGGAGTGGATTCATGGGCTGGAGTGGGCTCTGGAGCGAACTCATGGGCTGAAGCAGGCTCTGGAGCAGACTCATGGGATGGAGCGGGCTCTGGTGTGGACTCATGTTCTGGAGTGAGCTCTGAAGGGACTCATGGGCTGGAGCGGGCTCTGGTGTGGACTTATGGGGTGGAGTGGGCTCTGGTGTGGACTCATGTTCTGGAGTGGGCTCTGAAGGGACTCATGGGCTGGAGTGGGCTCTGGTGTGGACTTATGTGGTGGAGTGGGCTCTGGTGTGGACTCATGGGCTGGAGTAGGCTCTGGTGTGGACTTATGTTGTGGAGTGGGCTCTGGTGTGGACTCATGGGCTGGAGTGGGCTCTGGTGTGGACTTATGTGGTGGAGTGGGCTCTGGTGTGGACTCATGGGCTGGAGTGGGCTCTGGTGTGGACTCATGAGCTGGAGTGGGCTCTGGTGTGGACTCATGTGCTGGAGTGGGCTCTGAAGGGACTCATGGGCTGGAGTGGGCTCTGGTGTGGACTCATGTGCTGGAGTGGGCTCTGGTGTGGACTCATGTGCTGGAGTGGGCTCTGGTGTGGACTCATGTGCTGGAGTGGGCTCTGAAGGGACTCATGGGCTGGAGTGGGCTCTGGTGTGGACTCATGGGCTGGAGTGGGCTCTGGTGTGGACTCATGAGCTGGAGTGGGCTCTGGTGTGGACTCATGTGCTGGAGTGGGCTCTGAAGGGACTCATGGGCTGGAGTGGGCTCTGGTGTGGACTCATGTGCTGGAGTGGGCTCTGGTGTGGACTCATGTGCTGGAGTGGGCTCTGAAGGGACTCATGTGCTGGAGCGGGCTCTGGTGTGGACTCATGTGCTGGAGTGGGCTCTGAAGGGACTCATGGGCTGGAGTGGGCTCTGGTGTGGACTCATGTGCTGGAGTGGGCTCTGAAGGGACTCATGGGCTGGACTGGGCTCTGGTGTGGACTCATGTGCTGGAGTGGGCTCTGAAGGGACTCATGGGCTGGAGTGGGCTCTGGTGTGGACTCATGTGCTGGAGTGGGCTCTGGTGTGGACTCATGTGCTGGAGTGGGCTCTGAAGGGACTCATGGGCTGGAGTGGGCTCTGGTGTGGACTCATGTGCTGGAGTGGGCTCTGAAGGGACTCATGGGCTGGACTGGGCTCTGGTGTGGACTCATGTGCTGGAGTGGGCTCTGAAGGGACTCATGGGCTGGAGTGGGCTCTGGTGTGGACTCATGTGCTGGAGTGGGCTCTGAAGGGACTCATGGGCTGGACTGGGCTCTGGTGTGGACTCATGTGCTGGAGCGGGCTCTGGTGTGGGCTCATGTGCTGGAGTGGGCTCTGAAGGGACTCATGGGCTGGAGTGGGCTCTGTCAATACATTAATGGGCTGGAGTGGGCTCTGGTGTGGACTTGTGGGCTCTGGTGTGGACTCATGTGCTGGAGTGGGCTTTCGTGTGGACTCATGTGCTGGAGCAGGCTCTGGTGTGGACTCATGAGCTGGAGTGGGCTCTGGTGTGGACTCATGAGCTGGAGTGGGCTCTGGTGTGGACTAATGGGCTGGAGTGGGCTCTGGTGTGGACTCATGGGCTGGAGTGGGCTCTGGTGTGGACTCATGAGCTGGAGCGGGCTCTGGTGTGGACTCATGGGCTGGAGTGGGCTCTGGTGTGGACTCATGGGCTAGAGTGGGCTCTGGTGTGGACTTGTGGGCTCTGGTGTGGACTCATGTGCTGGAGTGGGCTCTGGTGTGGACTCATGGGCTGGAGTGGGCTCTGGTGTGTACTCATGAGCTGGAGTGGGCTCTGGTGTGGACTCATGTGCTGGAGCGGGCTCTGGTGTGGACTCATGTGCTGGAGTGGGCTCTGAAGGGACTCATGGGCTGGAGTGGGCTCTGGTGTGGACTCATGTGCTGGAGTGGGCTCTGAAGGGACTCATGGGCTGGACTGGGCTCTGGTGTGGACTCATGTGCTGGAGCGGGCTCTGGTGTGGGCTCATGTGCTGGAGTGGGCTCTGAAGGGACTCATGGGCTGGAGTGGGCTCTGTCAATACATTAATGGGCTGGAGTGGGCTCTGGTGTGGACTTGTGGGCTCTGGTGTGGACTCATGTGCTGGAGTGGGCTTTCGTGTGGACTCATGTGCTGGAGCAGGCTCTGGTGTGGACTCATGAGCTGGAGTGGGCTCTGGTGTGGACTCATGAGCTGGAGTGGGCTCTGGTGTGGACTAATGGGCTGGAGTGGGCTCTGGTGTGGACTCATGGGCTGGAGTGGGCTCTGGTGTGGACTCATGAGCTGGAGTGGGCTCTGGTGTGGACTCATGTGCTGGAGCGGGCTCTGGTGTGGACTCATGGGCTGGAGTGGGCTCTGGTGTGGACTCATGGGCTAGAGTGGGCTCTGGTGTGGACTTGTGGGCTCTGGTGTGGACTCATGAGCTGGAGTGGGCTCTGGTGTGGACTCATGGGCTGGAGTGGGCTCTGGTGTGGACTCATGAGCTGGAGTGGGCTCTGGTGTGGACTCATGTGCTGGAGCAGGTTCTGGAGTGGATTCATGGGCTGGAGTGGGCTCTGGTGTGGACTCATGGGCTGGAGTGGGCTCTGAAGGGACTCATGTGCTGGAGCAGGTTCTGGAGCGGATTCATGGGCTGGAGTGGGCTCTGGAGTGGACTCGTGGGCTGAAGCAGTTTCTGGAGCACACTCATGGGCTGGAGTAGAGAGTAATGGGAAGTGTATTCCAGGACAGTGTTCTAGGAAGGAGTGTCCTCTGGTGGATATGCAGGGCACTCCAACTGGTGATTGTGACCGATGAAAAGAAAGTTAAAATCAATAGCATTTATTTGAAATAGAAGTCTTAACATTACAAATGCCTTTAATGTCACATTTGATCAATTTAACACATTCCTGCTCAAGAAGAAGTATTAATTTCTTTAAATATATATTTATATAGAGCCTGTATTATTTATATGTCAAATGTATTTATTATCTTATATATACATATATTAAAGGTAATTAATTAACAGCAGGTTACCACACATAATAGTACAAAGTATACAAAAATAAAAGCTGGAGCATAATGTGTTAAATAAGCATTTATTTAACCATTAATGTATTGACAGAACTAATGACATATTACAAAACGATAACTGGTCGACAAACATCCTGCTGTCATGTGGTGATGAGTAATCCTCTGTGTCTCTGGAGTTGGTTTGAGATGATTTACGTTCTTTGCGTTTTCATCTCGACATCGTTCGTCAGAGCGACGGAGTTTGGCCAAGAACACAGCCTTCTTCAGCCTCCCCCTTCTCTCCTTCTCTATAAAAGGAGCTGAGCTGCTTCCACAGAGTCAGTCCGAGTCCACGGCTGCCAAACGACCTCAACTACTCACACTTGTTTGACTTTTAAGGAAAATACTCCAGCCGCAAGACACTGAGCTGCAGCAACCTCTGGAATAGCTCGTGGAGAAGATTCAGTCCAGGTAAACTATGTTTTTGACTTTTTATTATATAAAAGATAGATCACAGAGAGAGTTAGGCATTCTTGATTAATTGCATTTAGATGCATTTAACGAATTAAAGTTCACAATCAAGAGAGGAGCTTTTTTTCTCCTTTTTTGGTAATGAATAATTGATAGTCAGTGTTTATCAGCATACAGATCTAAGAGCTCAGGTGATGAGTTTCAAAATGCAATTTGAGTATGATTTTGGATGTTAGTTGCACTCATTGCCAAACTGGAAAATGTGCATGTGGTTCAACTGTCATGTTGTCATAACAATCTCTTGCCATTTTAAACTTTTCGGTTTGTGCACATTGTGCTTTCCACAAATATTAAAGCATTTTGCCTTGTAAAGTGCAGATGGACCACCTGCCAATGTTTATGTGGACTAGGTGCCCGGTTGGCTTTTTCCTGGCTGCTCTGTCTGTCATGGTATAAAAATCCAGGAGAGGGATGAGCAGAACGAGAAAGAAAGGGAGGACGCTGGAACTGAAGCATTGCCTGTGTTTACTCAGACTTGGTGTTGGATGTCAAGGCTCTGCAGAGAGAGTAAGAAAGTGTGAGGAGTGAAAATGAGAGGGATTTGGATTGTTCTATAAATCCTGATAAGCAGGACGATTCTGGGGCTTGTTGTTTCACGTGTTTGGCTCATCTGCATTTAGATGTGTGGGCTCTCTATTTATTATCTCCTCTAATAAATAACTCTAATTCACTTGCTCTTCGCTCCCGTTCTTGCACCCCCCAACAATTCCATTCCCAGAGAAAGTCAGTCTCGGACAGAGAAGAATCTGCTTTGATAAATGTGTGAGTGTCCCTCTCCTTATTGCTAATGAATTATTCTTTGTCCCACTGTCACCTCAGGATATTAATGAGTTTAATAAACAAAGTTCAGCGTATGGATGGATGCTGAGATCAAACAGACCTGCTGGTCCATCAACCTAACAAATCTAATCGAAGGAGATCAGGCTTAGTAGTTTGGTCTTTTGAGTAGCGATGAAAGATTACAATGGGTTTTTGTTTTGGAGGGGCTTTGATAGATTTCGCTGTAATGATGAGGCCTTTGGTTTGACATGTCCTTGAACTATGACAAACAATAAACATTCTTCAAATTAGAGCAAAAACTATTCATTCAATGTGGATCAATGTGGGCAATTTCATTATCTCACGCATGAGTGCTGCTCCATTGAGGATCGATGGGAAATTTCATCTGAGGAAGTTATGGCAATTTAGCTAGAAAGAGTGAATTCTGCTCATCAAAAACTCCTGTCTGTCATATTTCAGAGCACTATCATAAGAAACTAACAAGGAATTGCCTCTTTAAGGACAATTTTTTGACATTATTTTCATATTCTTAATATGACAATTAAACGCAATTCTCATTGCTTTAATTAAAGCTACACTGTGTAACTCTTTTAGTTTATTCTTAGCTAAAAACACTTAATTCTTTTAAAAATATATGTGCTCATTAATGTATCAAGTAATAAAGTATTCTCGTGTATAATATGCCATTGAAAATACATACGGGTAAAGGGTTCTAATGTCGGTCGCCATGTTGCCCCTCCATCTTGACAGTACATTAGCCAAAGAGGGACATACCCGTTAATTCAAGCTTCGCCTTTCGCGTTTTCGTTTGAGTTAACACTCATGGACGAGGTCGAACTGGAAGCCATGTTAATCTTGGACTACATTGGCCACCGTAGGAGTTAAAACGAAATCGGAATTGAGAGGAAGCAAAACTAATATTCACTGGATGGTTATATACCTTTTCACCGCTAGATGGGGGTAAAAATCACACAGTGTAGCTTTAAATCAAGAATCTGACCTCTCAAAACAAAAGTAATTTCACAGTGAATCTTATTTATTTTAAAATTGAGCTTGCTTCATGCAAAATGACCTACTGATTTGAGTGTGAAATGTAACCGTGACATGTTTTAGTTAGATTCATCTAATGGACGAGCAGAGTTTAAACAAAGGAGCAGTTACTGCAAAACATGGATGGATGAATCTTATGTAGTTCCAGAATAGCACCTCAGATTCTGTTGTTATTGGATTCATCTATTTGTGGTGTATGTATAGCCAGGATGCAATAAGAGTGACTACTGAAGCCAGTTTAGCCAATTCCTCTTTGAAGCACTTGTTTCTCTTTTTGAGTAAACATATGAACATGTGTTTGCTATCCATCGTTTTCTCCAACAACTTTCCCAACACTTATCCTCATGGAAACCACATTTCCTTCCAGATTTTCCAGAACAGAGCACTGGAGACACGCTCACACAAGGCAGTCCACTGTGATCCGACCCTGAAAGCATCAACGCTGCCATGAACAGCCTCGTTTCCATCGCCCTGATATTCCTGGGTGCCAGCTTGTCTGCTTCCCTCTTCATTCCCGACTCCCCGGAGCTGAGGCAGTTAATGCAACGCTACCAGGATGAGCTGGAACCCAACAGCACAAAAGCTGATGTGCCTGTACGCACTCGCAGAGCCATCAAGTGGACGGACAGGGAGGAGATCCTGCAACTGCACAACAAGCTGAGAGGAGAGGTGTACCCGACTGCCTCCAACATGGAGTACATGGTGAGAATGTCATTTTACACTCACATCCAACTTTATAATGTAACATTAAAGGAGTGGTTCACTTTTCAAAAAACTTTTGCTGATAATTTACTCACCTCCATGTCATCCAAGATGTCCATGTCAATCTTTCTTCAGTCGAAAAGAAATTAAGGTTTTTGATGAAAACATTCCAGGATTTTTCTCCATATAATGGACTTCAATGGAAACCAAACGGTTCAATGTCCAAAAGACACTTTCGGTACAAACTGAAAACTGTTCAAAGGGCTTTAAAACGATTCCAGACGATGAATAAGGGTCTTATCAAGCGAAACGATCGCTCATTTAATAAATAAATAACAAAGTTTAAGTTTTATAAGCTCAAATGGTCACCTTGCTCTGTTCTGTGATGCGTGTTCGTGACTCTCCTGTTTGATGAACGAATGAACAAATCTTTTTCCGAGTCATTTGGTTCATTCAACGAACGAAACGAACAAATTGACTCGGAAAAAGATTCGTTCATTTTGATGAATGAGTTTGAACAGGAGAGTCACGAACGCGCATCACAGAACAGAGCAAGGCGAACATTTGAGCTTATAAAACTTAAACTTTGTTATTTATTTATTAAATGAGCGATCGTTTCGCTTGATAAGACCCTTATTCATCGTCTGGAATCGTTTAAGGCCCTTTGAACAGTTTGCAGTTTGCACCGAAAGTGTCTTTTGGACATTGAACCGTTTGGTTCCCACTGAAGTGCATTGTATGGAGAAAAATGCTGGAATGTTTTCATCAAAAACCTTAATTTCTTTTCGACTGAAGAAAGACAGACATGGACATCTTGGATGACAAGGGGGTGAGTAAATTATCAGCAAAAGTTTATTCATTACTGCTTTAAGGGTCAGTACAGAGAACCTAGAGGGTTCTGTTCCAAAACCTAGGGAGTTATCTATCTAGAAAGCATTTCAAGCCATCATAAGTGTGTGGCAGGTGCTAAGTTTGTTTCAAAAGGTAGGTAATAACATAATGCCGACATCTAAGTCCCTTATTTTGACTAAAGAAACACTGAGAAGAAAAACTCAGAATGTGACAAGCTGTAAACTTTTACCAACGATGGTAGATTTCTTCTTGATATTAATTCATTAATAAATACAATCAATTAAAAATTCAATCTATTTTGAAAGGCATTATTTTACCCAACATTTCTGTGTGCTATTACCTTGTGAAAATGAAGTACATGTAAGCATACACAGCGCAATTATAAGCACACTTCTTTTCCCCCAAGGGTTAATTGTTACGCTTATTAATACTCAGTTCCCTGCTGACAGATCCAGTATAAACAAGCATGAATTCCACATTGGTCCAAGTGGTATTATGCTAGTTAGGCCTGGTATAGTAGCTGGTGGACCAGCATGCTGTTCTCAAACAAAATTGGGCTGGAATAGCTTGTCCAGCAAACCAGCGTCTCATGCTGATTCCAGCATGCATTTTTCAGCAGGGTTAGCTTAGCAACATGCTAACATAAGATCTTAGTTTGTCTTGTTGCATATTAAGAGTGTATCAAAGCCGTCACTGATGAAGTTTTATTTCAGTTAGTGTGCCGCTTTAGAATATAACGGTCAATGTAGACAGCAAGACACATCAGTTCGTTTTAGAACCGAGATGCAATGAGTTTAGTCTGCGGCAAAGGTATTTTTATGTCGACCACACAGCTATACAACACCAACACTCGGTTCTGCATTAATGACCCTGGTTTATAGGCTACTAATTGCGTTTTGTGTTAGCATCAGTCATCTTTTTTCTGGTGCAGTAAATATCTTTAGGTTTGCTTAGGGGCCAAATACAGGCTTTAGACGTTGATTTTACAAGTGTAATCTTGTCTGGAAAAGATATGGTGCCTATTTACTGTGGAGACAATTGCAATGTAGCTTAGAGCTGAGTCACGACATGGGTAGAAAAATTAGATTAGTGACATTACTGGAACAGATATGAGGCTTCAGTTATGTGACAATGTGTGCTGCCTTGTAATCGCACGTGTCAAAGGGATTCACTTTGTTTGTCCCTACGTTTTTGGACATTTAAAGGGATAGTTCACTTTGAAATTATTTTTTGATATGTTTTAGCTTACCTCAAGGACATCCAAGATGTAGGTGTCTTTGTTTCCACAGTATTTTCAATTTTGACATTTTTTAGTCAAACCGTTGTTGTCTATTAGTCATACACTGGAGGCCTAGGGGGTCCACCAAAAAGCATGCACAGAGAAGTCAAAATGAAACATGATTTAATGACTCGTAAATATAAGTACACATTGATGGCCTAAGACACGAAACGAGCGGTTTGTGTGAGAAAACGAACAGTATTCATATCGTTTTTACCTCGTGTAATCACAGTGACGTCCAAGTGACCTGAATCAGTTGTGCAATGTCCAACTAAACCGAACTGAATCAGTTCAATGTTACGCCGGAAGTGATCGCTTGCGTGTGACGTCACTCAATATTTACATGGAGATTTCGGAAGTTTTACCTTTTACTAAACATATTTAGATTTACTGAAATCGTCTTCCATTGCGGTTTCCCGTATATCTAAATATGTTTAATGAAAGGTAAAACTTCCGAAATCTCTGTATAAACAAAGAGTGACGTAGGCGCGCAAGCGATCACTTCCGGCGCATGCACAGACCGAAGCGCCCGTGCCGTCAGATCATTTTGTCATGGCTATAATTACAAGAGGTAAAAACGATATAAATACTGTTCGTTTTCTCACACAAACCGCTCGTTTCGTGTCTTAGGCCATCAATGTGTACTTACATTTACAAATCATTAAATCATGTTTAATTTTGACTTCTCTGTGCATGCTTTTTGGTGGACCCCCTTAGCCTCCAGTGTATGACTGATAAACTACAACGGTTTGACTGAAAAATGTCAAAATTGAAAATACTGTGGAAACAAAGACACCTACATCTTGGATGCCCTTGAGGTAAGCTAAAACATATCAAAAATTTATTTCAAAGTGAACTATCCCTTTAACTGCATTTTGATTGCAATTAAATTAAAATGTATAATGTTTTTTTTTATTTATATTAAATTCAGTGTTTTTACCCACTTAAGTAGGGCTACAACATAGTTCATTTGTATCATAGGTGTTCTGGGGACCTATTGAGAGCACAGCCTTGCTTTATTGCTATTCCCTGTGTGCCTTTGCATATGGTACATTGAAATAGAATGAAATGTTGATGTAGTGAGGGAAAGATACAAAGAGAAAGGCCTTATGGTTAATGTAGTTGGGTTGATGCCTTTGAGAAAGACAGGAGTCTACCACAAGCAGGGGTTTCAGAACCGCTGCCAGGCCTCAGCAAACAAGTAAGGGTTTCAGAAACGTGGCTTGGTCCCAAACAGCACCTTTAGAACTGAGGTTACAGAATGTGTGAGTGTTTGTGCCCATAATGCAGTTGGAAATTTACTGAGAGTTCCTCAGAGGTGAAGAACCCTGTTCTGTGGGGCGAAGTGAGTCCTCTCTCCCTACAGGTGGAGAAATAAGCTGGGGAAATTATTTGTCTCATTTAACCCTGATTGCTGGGGATTTACAATGGACGTGAGCCAAGCTCTGATGTGCGTGCATGTAACCAATATTTTAGTTGTATTGGGCCTGATTCCCAGTCCTATCCTGAAGATGAAGAGTTAGAGGAAGGCAAAGGGAATTATCTGGGAGTAAAACTCATGTTCAGTATTTTGTTAAGGTTTCAGTGCAAATATATGAGAATTATGAATATGTTGTGTTGAATCTGTGTTTGATTTAGCTTGTGTTTGTATGACCAGGTTTGGGATGATGAACTGGAGAAGTCGGCAACTTATTGGGCAGAACAATGCCAGTGGGAACATGGACCTCAAGACCTTCTGATGTCCATTGGGCAGAACCTTGCAGTGCACTGGGGAAGGTATGAGTACACACACAATTACAAAGACCAAATCAGTCTGTGCCTGTACCATAACCGGTTGTCCAAGGTGCTAATAAGGGCTGAAAACATGGATATATTAGAATATTTGAATTTTAAAGTTGTCATTTCAGGCCTGAAAAAGTCTTTAGAGATTGAAATTATTCATTCAGATCTGGGGATATACTGTATTTTCCATATTTGTTTGATTTTTTTTGTGTCACATTTAACATTTAGGCATACTTTTATGTATTTATCATAAGCGTCTTACGTGTGGTCACATTTTTCTCATTTAAATAATAAAGCAGCTTGATCTTCTTTATATGAAATCGACACCTCATAAAACCTGTGAGAACATTTTTACCAGGTGAATAGAGTGCTGAAGTGACGATGTCACTTTGTTCCCTCGATCGAAAAGCTATGCATTTTCCCCACAGACTTGGAAAATCTGTGTTTATAAAATAGTTGTGACCCTTACACGTTTTGTCTATCAAGATAATCTTTACAAGTTAATCCAAAATGTATACATTTTGAAGCCTATATAAAGTTTTTTAAAAACACAAGCAGACACAATAAAGTTTAAAAAACCACAAGCAGGTTATAACTGTGTGTTCTGTGTCATAGATCAAAATGTGGAAATATTTAGAGGCTTTGTTCACCACAAAACTTATATCAGGCGATTTAGCAAAAACCCATTCAAAAATCCCATAGACTTTAGAGCGAGGGAACCGGTAGTGCTAAAATGCTAACTCACTTCCGCGATTTGGCCTACAGTGACGTTGTAACTTCGGCACTCTATAGTATGGAAACGTTCCCCTAACCCCACCCGTAAACAGCCGTCATTAGATACAAAAATGTATGAATGAGATGTCATACCAATTAGACAGCAATTTGCTAAAGTTTTAAATAGTTGTAGTTGCGATGCATGAAGACGAGCTCACACAGAGGTCACTTACCAACCAAGCAGCTTTCTGTTTGGTAACTCTGCAAATTCGACTTGAGTCCAATGCGAAGTCTACACAAGGAAATGTTTCACCCTCATGCGAATCCTATTGAAACGACGGGATTTCAAATGTGAAATTTAGCCAAACAACAGTAAATGTGACTGTGCCTTAACACTGCTTCCAAGTGATAATTTTATCAGTTCATGCATTCACTAGGAATCAAACCCATAACATTGGTGTTGCTTGTGCAATTCTCCACTGTTTGAGCCGACATGAACTCAGTTTTACTTAAAGCATCATTGTTAATTTTTTAAACCAATTACATCAATCGTCTAAAGGCCATTGCACACTGAGTCTGAAATTTTCGCATGCGTTTTTTCGTATTTGTGATTCGGTGGCTCTAAATTGTCAAAACACCGTTTAAACACCATTCAAACTGCTTGCTACGAATGTGAAAAACGCAGAAAATCTAACCAGATTTGATTTTTTTTTTTATGACGGACGAAAGTATCTGAGGCAATGTGCAAGAGTCATTGACAAAACGTGAGGTCGTATTTATTTTTTAACGTGCGAAAATTTTGGATGCGAATTTCGGTGTGTAAGGGCCTTAAAGGAGTAGTTCACTTTAAAAAAAACTTTTAAAAAGTGAAACGTTTTTTGTTTTGTTTTTTTAATTAAGGTTTCTGATGAAAACATTCCAGGATTTTTCTCCATATAATGCACTTTACTGGTAACCAAACAGTTCAAGGTCCAAAAGACAGTTTTCAAACCTGTTCGAAGTCGTTCACCAAAATGAACAAATCTTTTTCTGAGTCAATTCATTCATTTCGTTCATTGAATGAACCAAATGACACGAAAAAAGATTCGTTCATTTTGGAGAGTCACGAACGCACATCACAGAACAGAGCAAGGCACTGAACCCCTAGTTGCTCCAGAGACCTCTGACATATATAGAAATTGTAAGTCGCTTTGGATAAAAGCCGAGTCAGATAAATGAATAAATGTAAATGTATCAGTGTAGGAAACCTGAATGTAAATATGATGGGTTTGCAAAAAAATTAATGGCTATGAATGTGCTTTACAGTAACTTGCCTTGTGACATGACGTGAAGGCCAAGTGTGCCAACCCATAGCCCACTCAAAATTTGTCCTCTTTATTTGAAAATCGAACCAGTGATTTTTTTTTTTTTATATTACCAGTCTGACTCTCTTACTATAGGGGCCCTTGTTTAAGTACTGGTGTGTGATACTCATAATCATATTAAATAACTGTGTCTCTTTCCTGATAGGTACCGCTCTCCTGCCTACCATGTGCAGGCCTGGTACGACGAGGTGAAGGACTACACCTACCCTTACCCGCATGAGTGCAACCCGTGGTGCCCTGAGCGCTGCTCTGGACCCATGTGCACCCACTACACACAAGTGAGTGAGAAAGATTAGTTGGCTAACAATCCCAGTGGGACTAAACAACATGACCTTGTTTATGATTTTAAAACTCTCGTGCGAAGGTGTGCACTCGCCAGCTTGGGTTTACTCCTCTCCAGCGGTGTTTAATAAGAAGCATGTGTGACCTGCATTAAGTTCCATTGAAAACAGCATATGGAGTGCAGACTTGACTAATGATGTTCATTAATCTGCCACAGTGTCTTGTATCACACATGTATGTATTTGGACACCTAAAAGCGAGTCCTAAAAATGCATATTGTAAATTAAGCTTAAAAGGAAAGTTACACCCAAAAATAAAAAATGAATAATTTGACAGTCCATTGAGGTTCTTTCTCATGCACGAATCATGTGATGTATGAGATTCTGATGCTCATTCATTGATCAATGCTTATGCTAATGAAATCTGTCCATCATATAGTGATTGCATCTCTTCAGACTTGGATTAAACCCCTCGATTCATATATGATTTCTTATTGCCAAATTTTGGATTTTCATTGGAGCGACAGAAATCCGTCAGGTTTCATTAAAAATAACTTTATTTACATTTGGAAGATGCATAAAAGTCTGAGTTTGGACGACATTTTTGTCGTACGGTTGACAAATTTTTCATTTTTGGGTGAATCTTTTGGGAATAATCCCTCGTAGTGTCCAAATACTATTTAGATTCACTGCAGGTATTTATATGTAACCAGCGGTTGGCTGTTTATTATCCCTTTTTTAAATAATAGTATTTGAAAAATAACTTTGACACTGTCAAAACATATTGAACATGCCAGGTCAATCCGATAAAAAGCACAAAGAAAAGAAAAGTAGGCAAGAGAGGCAAACCAAAGTCTGAGAGAGAATAACAGAGTAAATTGAGAATGATAAAAATGATAAAAAATAAAAAAAAATCGGAAAGAGAGAGGGTCTGGGCAACGGCCTCATGTCCTCTCAGACTTTACTTCACTGGAATGAGTTTGTCCCAGATTCTCTCAGCTTTCTTGCCCTCAAAAAGCAGGTCACCAGCATCTGGAAAGTGTTGCTTGACTCCTGAATTATTTTCCTGTTTGACCCGAATTCTTTTGAAGAAGTCGTAGGGGATCCGTGCCAAATCCACGCAGCAATTCTCCCTGTTTTCTGCTCCTCTCTCACGTGCTGTGCGAGGGCCCCTCAATCTTCTCTCTGCCAAACGATCCATCAGGGATAAACCTGAGTTTGTGTTTTTTGGGACTGATTAGTTTGCTGTATCATTGTCCCATGGCCGACACCGCCTGTGGCCTCTTTGCACAGGAAGTGCATTCCCCAGGGAGCATTGAGACGTGTTCCCTCGGCTTGTGCTCGACGGGGCTGGATGCAACCCCACTACGGGTTAACTGTATGTATATATAAAAAAAGGCCTTACTAAGCACTTCCCTTTCATTTCACAGCCAAATGGTTTGGCTCATGCTGGAGGACTGCACCCGGTGAACTCTATTGTGTTTAAGCGAATCAGCGAGGGCCTTGACCACAACTCAATGGGCTGCACGCAGGCAATACTCTGTTTGTGTGGATAAGAGAAGGATCACACACGTTTTTCAGGAAACTGGCCCGGTCACACTTGAGGTGTTTCTCCTTCCGCCCTTCAGTGCAGAATGAAAGAGGGCAGTCTCTATTCACGGCCCCCGTGGCCCCATCAATCTACCGCTGCTGCCCCTGAACGGAGACTGGTTCCTGTTGGGGAACACTTCTCATTCTGGTCTGGGGGGATTTGATATGGATGTCTTTTTTATTCCTTCAACACCAACAACAGCAAAGAGATCTGCATCTTTCATCCATGCTAAAATAAAACATTTTTTGGTCCCACTTTATATTAAGTGTCTTAACTGCTATGTAATGAAGTAGGGATGCACCGATATGAAAAGTTTGGCCGATGCCGATAACCGATAATTCTTTATATTATATTTGAAAGACGATAACCGATATATCGACCGATAAACTTAAATCCAAATTTTTATCTAATTTTGATAGCCTGATTACAAAAACAAAAGTCTCACAATTAAATCTATGTCCATGTTATATTGTTGTATAGCCGATATGACAGATTTGCGCTGCACATGTTGTACCGAACCGTATTTTCATTTTTTGAGGAGATTTCAATCATATTTCAAGAAACTCAAAAACATAAACAGTGCTCAACAAGTGTCTCAGCTGAAGGGAATAATACATTATTTATTAGCTTTAATATAGCGGCCACATTTTTTTACCAGGCCGATAACGATAACATTAAAAATGATATATCGGCCGATACCGATATGCTGGCCGATATATTATGCATCCCTATAATAAAGTCATAATAATAATAATTGTTAGGTATAGTGAACTTATTGTGTTCTTGTTGTATTGTGGTGGGATACGGGTAAGGTTAGGGACTGGCTTGGTGGAATGGGTAGGTTAAGGTTTAAAGGAGTAGTTCATTTTTAAAAAAAACTTTTGCTGATAATTTACTCACCCCCATGTCATCCAAGATGTTCATGTCATTCTTTCTTCAGTCGAAAAGAAATTAAGGTTTTTGATGAAAACAGTCCAGGATTTTTCTCCATATAATGGACTTCATTGGGAACCAAACGGTTCAAGGTCCAAAAGACAGTTTCAGTGCAAACTGTTCAAAGGGCTTTAAACAATTTCAGAAGATGAATAAGGGTCTTATCAAGCGAAACGATCGCACATTAAAAAAAATAACAAAGTTTAAGTTTTATAAGCTCAAATTGCTCTGTTCTGTGATTCGTGACTCTCCTATTCGAACTCGTTCATCAAAACGAACGAGTCTTTTCCTGAGTCAACTCGTTTTTGTTCGTTGAATGAACCAAATGACACGAAAAAAGATTTGTTCATTTTGATAAACGAATTCGAACAGGAGAGTCACAAACGCGCATCACAGAACAGAGCAAGGCGACCATTTGAGCTTATAAAACTTAAACTTTGTTATTTATTTATTAAATGAGCGATCGTTTCGCTTGATAAGACCCTTATACATCGTCTGAAATTGTTTAAAGCCCTTTTAACAGTTTGCACTGAAACTGTCTTTTGGACCTTGAACCATTTGGTTCCCAATGAAGTCCATTATATGGAGAAAAATCCTGGAATGTTTTCTTCAAAAACCTTAATTTGTTTTCGACTGAAGAAAGAATGACCTGGACATCTTGGATGACATGCGGGTGAGTAAATTATCAGCAAACTTTTTTTAAAAGTGAACGACTCCTTTAAGAGTTGGATAATGGGTAGGTAAACTTCAGGTCCTATAAAAGAATGTGAGGTTGGGCCCCTACCGCACCCATTCAATTAATAAAATTGATCTTTTTCTTTCGTTTTCAGCTGGTCTGGGCCACAACCAATCGTGTTGGCTGTGCTGTACACATGTGTCCACGTATGAACGTGTGGGGAGAGGTCTGGGAGAACTCAGTCTATCTCGTCTGCAACTACTCGCCAAAGTAAGACCAGTAACTGTGCTGTTTTTGCTGATGTTTATTCACGTAACACCAGATGGCTAATCACTATTCCTGATCATTATATGGAACAAAACTTTTTTAAAGCAAAGATTCCATCCTTCAAAACATTGAGGTTATAAGCAAATTTTTACGCAGTCTTTGGAAAATGGAAAGGATTTTTGGAAAGGAAAACAGATGCTATTCTTTTCCAAGCTAATGATTTAATTTGGCAGCTGTGGATTGTTTTCCTAAATCAGTCCTGAGATCCGTTAATGTGTTTTGAGTGCTCAATCAAATGTGCAGATTTTGCAGTAATTTCCGAACTCATGCTGAACCTGTGCCCTCTTCTAGGGGAAACTGGATCGGGGAAGCCCCGTACCAACATGGCCGCCCCTGTTCCCAGTGTCCACCAAGCTACGGAGGAGGCTGCAGAGACAACCTCTGTTACAAAGGTGAGGATGATAAATGAGGATCCTGACTATATATTTTGGTAGGGCAGATTCTGGGTCATACTGGCAGTTTATCGTAAAAATTTTGTAAGCTTTATATAATAACTGCTGAACACACCCAGAACACTTTTGGCTGAACACAGGTTGCATTATTCAACCTCAAACATGAAACAAACAAAACAGAAATATATATGCTACTCCAGATAGGAAGAACAGACAATAACAACTAGTTACTGACCTGATGCAGACTAATATACACATACCTGAAGCCAATTGACATCATCTTGGTCTGGATCGAGATTCGAGGTTATGTGAAAATAAGCGGGGCAGTCTGAAATCAGCCCCAATGGCTCTCTATGAGAGTGCGCTGCAGTTCCATTTTTCACCACAAATCTACATTGGAAAATTGTGGGGCGCTGTAGAGCAGAGGAGGACTCCGTGAGAATACATAATACATAAATTCATAATACAGTACATCATGCCTGCTGAAGCCATACATTACATTTGTATATATCCTGCTCACTTTTTTACTTAAAATAGTCTATGCAATTAAATATTTGTTGGAGATTTCTGAGCACATTTACAACTTATCATTGGTTCAGTTTATATAGGGGTCTATGACTGTGTTTACACCTGGAATTAAGATGCGTTTTGGTTGATCGGATTACAAGTAGGCGAGGGAGACAGATTCCCTGTTTTAATCCATCTCACTTTCTACCACTGCTGTCCTGATTTCTTCGCAGGGTAAATGTATGGATTTTTTTCTCAGATCTTTCAATCTAATGGACAAAATAAGCTTGTGCAATTTACATATGAACACGACCAGAGACATAACACATATGGAGAGCTGAAGCTTTCAATTCTTCCCATAATGTTTACTAGGGATGCACCGATACGAACATTTTGGCCGATACCGATAACCAATAATTTTTTATATTTGAAAGCCGATAGCCGATATATATCGTCCGATAAATCTAAATCTAATTTTTATATAATTTTTGAAATCCTGATTGCAAAAACAAAAGTCTCACAATTAAAATCCGTTCCCTAACACAATTGTAATGTTCTCATTATAATTTCAGGTAGCCGATATGACAGCACATTTTGCACTTCGTTTTTAATTCCAATCATATTTCAAGCAATTAAGATCAATCATGTTGAACAGTGTGTCTTAAGTGTCTCAGGTGTCATGTGTTGAAGGAAATAATTAATTATTTATCAGCTTTAGTATATCAGCCAAATGTCATTATCGGGCCGATAACGATAACATAAAAATGAACAAATATCGGACGATAATGATATGGTGGCCGATATATCGTGCATCCCTAATGTTTACTAGTTAGGTCAGTAGGATGAGAGTAGACGGTCTTTTGCGGCTGTTCGAACGCATTCGCCCACGTGAACGCTTACTTTACAAAAGCAATCTGGTCGAATGTGTTTTCGACTACCTCTGCAAAGTGGACAAGCTCAAAATGTTTCCGACCCCGTTTACACCTGTATTCAGCGTCCACTTGTGATCCGATCGACCAAAACGCATCTTAATACTAGGTGTAAAGATTGAAATCTAATTTGAGTTTTTTGTTTTTAGGAGTCCCTGAACGTCACGAGTCTCCAGATATGAATGAGGTGGAGAAGCCTCAGGAGCCGGTACAGCCTCAAACTACTCCAACTAAACCTCAGCCCAAGCCTTTCTCCCCTAAAAAAGTTGCAAATGCCAAACCTTCCTCACCCAAGACTACAAGAAATACCTATCTAGGTTAGTGTGAATAATATTACTTGAAAATTGATCAATTATTAGCATTTTAAAACCATTCAAATAATATAACTTATTATATTAAAGTATTCATTTTTGCCTTTCAGCCCAAATTATTAAGTGTGAGACAAAAATGAGGGACAAATGTAAAGGTGCAACCTGCAATAGGTAAGTCTGAATGAAGTAGACGTTTCTTTAAAGATTTTAATAGACGATAAGTTTTGAAAATTCACTGTTGATCCTTTTCTTCTTTCATAGGTACAACTGCCCAGCCAATTGTATAAATAAGAAGGGGAAAGTATGGGGAACGCTGTACTATGATGTTGTAAGTGTTACGCTAAGATTTCACATGGTCCTGTTATTGATGATGTTCGATTTATTTTAACTCAATTTTTTTCTTCCTGTTATTGTAGCAATCAAGTATTTGCCGTGCTGCAATCCACTATGGAATAATTGACAACAATGGAGGCCTTGTTGACGTCACAAGAAAAGACAGCTTCCCGTTCTTTGTAAAGGCAACCAAGAATGGCGTAGAGTCATTCAGGTATAGTCTGAATGTTATGATGATATAGTTATTTCAATTAAGTTAGTCCACAATTAAATATCCACATTGATAGTTATTAAAACTAATCTGTGTTCTGTGTTTTTTTTTCTTTGTTTGTAGTAAATACAAACCTGGCAATGCATTTATGGTGTCAAAAGTGGAAGGTGAGGATTTTTACTGTTTTATCTTATGTAAATGCAAATATTTAGTAATCTTTGACAGAAGTTCTGGTTCACTAATTATGTATTTTCTTCCTTTTTTTTAGAGCAAACGATAGACTGCTACACGACAGTGGCAGAGATTTGTCCCTTCAAGACGTCCACCTCTCATTGTCCAAGGTACAGTTCAAAGTATTGTTATATCACTATATAGATTACACTCTATAATAGGTCATCTGGAGGTACTTTCTAATGCACCTTACCAATTTCTCCTCTATCTCATCAGAGTGTTCTGCCAAGCTAACTGCATAAACGAACCTTCATACTGGGCTCCAGTGGTCGGCAGCAACATCTACGCTGACGTGAGTACCCGCTTCTGTCCGTGAGCGTTACAGGGCTGAGAGATGGGAAATGAGGGAGAACAGGCGTTCGTAGTCAAGCACTTATGAGGGCTAAAGTGAGCGTGCTACTCTTGTGGTGAGGGTCGACCGCGGTAATTGTCTGTGTGGGTCTTAAGGGAGTTGTTGGTGGAGGTGGACTCCATTGTCGCCACTAATTTCTCTTCGAGTGTAGACTGACCACAGAGCAGCAGCTGTGTGAGTGGAGCTGGAGAACAGCTCTCTTGCACTGACTCATGCATGCCTGAGGTCAGGTCTTGGCCTTATGGAACACTTAACTGTTTAGGGAACAGTGTAAGTTCATCCAATAGGTTCTTTATTAACTCATTAATCAACATTATGGCACAAATTAGTTTGATAGCCAGTGTGAAAAAGAAGTTTTATTTGTTTTGAATGTGCACTTGTAGTGAACTTCACACTCTAAAAATGCTGGGTTCTTTTAACCCAAATTTGGGTCAAATATGGACAAACCGAAAAATGGGTTGGAAAAATGGATTGGGTTGAAAATGTAATTTGAACTTTTATCCCAATGGCTAAGTCTGTCCATATTTGACCCAAAGATGGGTTAAAACAACCCAGAATTTTTTAGAATGGACATTTTACTATGCAGATTCTACTTGCAGAAAATAATATTAATGAAATGAAAGGCAGCTAAATAGAGTAAACCAAGTTCATCTTTAAAAAAAGTGCACTTTGTGATAATGTTTTACTTTAGAGGACATTTTAAATAATTATGTTTTAACAATATTTTGTTATGATTTTTTAAAAAGGTGCACTTTTTACACGCATACTAAAGCAAATTACTTAATTATACTTAATTTGAACTGTAGTGTGTTATTTGATATTACATTTAAAGGTTAAATATGTACTAAATTACAAATGTGTAATTACATATTTAACCCTCTGGTGCTGTTGGGTCATTTTTGACCCAATGTTTTTTTTTTCCTTTAGCATTTTTTTTTCCTTTGTCAGAATAGTACGAAACCTATTAAAGCTTTTGGCGCTTGCTGTGTGTGAACACAAAATGGATGGACATCGAAAAGGTTAAAAAGCTCAAAAAGGATTGCATTGGAAATGAACGGGAAACAAATTTACTCTATTGGAAACGTTTGGTACTGCGTCCAAACATAATGTTACTGAAAGCTTTTTTGTGTCTTCTTTAAAAAGATACCAAATTTAAGTATGTGCTCTAAAAGCATTTAAGATTTATGACAGTTTAAGTTGGAAATTTAATTTTTAGGTTTATGCTGTACCATTTTGCCATATATATATATATATATATATATATATATATATATATATATATATATATATATATATATGAAGAGTTCAGATGCAAAAGCCTCTCAGTGCCATTTGAAATTTTCTTCTAGATTGATCATTTTTATCAAGCTTGTATATTTAAGTTCAGTGATTTCACTTAAATGGCAATGATAATTACCTATTAATTGTTATTTAAGTGAAATTACTGAACTTAACCATACAAGTTTGATAAAAATCATCATTAAAGAAGAAAATTTCAAATGGCATTTAGAGGCTTTTGCATCTGAACTCTTGATATATATATATATATATATATATATATATATATATATATATATAATTTTTTTAATGATTTAATTAATTGACCGTTTCATTTTTTTTTGTGGTCTCTTGCAAGTATAACCCCAATAATGATAGCAAATAAAATTGTAATGGTAAAATAAAGCCAAAAATAGAAAAACAAAGCGAGTAATTTATTCATGCCGCAATGCACTCTGGGAGTACACCTTCTCAGATCACAGGCAGAATTAAGTTGACAAAACTTAAATGGATTAAGTATGAATAACTTGATGCAATTGAGTTATGCTTACTCAATGAAATTAAGGCAACAAGTTTGCATTATAAAATTAAGTAAACTGAACTAATTATTTTTTACATTGTATACATGGCATGCAAGTTACAATAGAAATGACATCAAAGTATATTTTAGTTTATCATACACTTGTCAGTGCATCTGGTAAAACACTTTGACTATATTGCAAAGACAATATAAATAATTATGTATGAGTATAACAGAAAAATATACTTAAGTCCCACTTAAATTGGTAAAAAAGCACTCTAAATATCAGCTAATTACATTTAACATAGTTATCTCTCTAGCGAGCAAACACTGTGACCGGATCATTGAATCTGCGAGATGAACTCGAAAAACGAATCAGTCCGATTTGTGAATGAATCAGTGAAATTGATCATCTAGATTCACTGAAAAGATGACATTTACATTTGCAACAATTCAATGATTTCTGACTTAAACTTAAGATTCTCTGCAGTCTGGATAATTCGCTTCTCTCGCGTGTCTTTTTCTCACCGGAGAAGAAACCTGGCCAGGCTGTTTAGTGGTGTGTGAACTCAAATGAACTTGCCTTTTGGCCTTGTTGCGGCCACATTCCTCTGTAAAAGCTGAGCGTCTCAGATCAGAGCACGCTCTCCAGCAAGCACTAATTAACCCTCATTATACGGTGGTTTGGACTTGGTCATTTGTAGAGGTAGCCTTTGATTGAAAGCGCACTTGAGCAATTGGATGAGTATTATAAGATAATGCCACCCAGACGTGTGCGATGAGCTGTGCACATTCATTACTTTAAAGCGGGGTGAAGTGAGGGTAACCTCTAGGGTCATACCGAAGTGTTCAGTAGACAGAAGCAGACAGAATTGAACCTACGTTCTAGGTTAAACGAATAAAAACTGTAGGTACATGAAGTTCCAGAGAGTTTATACACACACTGAAGCTGCCTGGCGTCTGACCAGCTTGCCTTTTCTGGAGCTCTTGAGCTCTGGGTTGCTGGTGTGTGTACTGTAGACCTCGAAGTGATGTCATTTGTCTAGGCTCCTTTAGACTGTTTACATCTCAAGGACTGTGGAATTGAGAGTGAGAAACATAGCTGCAAAGTGCTATGGCAAACATCACCATTACTAGGAGTGTTAACGATACACAAAACTGACGGTTCGGTTTTCCCACGGTTTTAACGTCTCGGTTCGATTCGGTTTAGAGAGCTAAAATTGCTTCCTTTTTTTTAAACAGTAGTTTAATGAAAAAATTGTCTTCGTCTATAAATTAATTCAATTACAATTAAACGTTTCACAATGATTAAAAAAAACCGGCTGTAAACTATATAGGGAGCCGCAGGTACATTACCTACAGTATAACATTAAAGGTTGTAGCCTAGACTTCTAACCTAAATTCAGATGTTATTTTTTTTTTAGATATAATAAATCAACACACAACACATTGTATGAAAACATGTAAACTGAACATAAGGCAGTTTTTGCATTTAAACTGTTTTTACTCGAATTTGTTAATGAAATATAATAATTTACACAGTTGTCATTTTCATGTTTTCATGAAAGATATTTTAAACATACATTAAATAATCAAGATATCCTTAACAGGTTAAGTAAAATAAAATATATAGGCTAACATAGTGCATTTATTTAGTGCAAGAGTTAATTTATAGGAACCAAACTTGTGGACACTGAATCTCTTGCCTGTTGAGGTAAATAATGCTAGTGACAAGCTATGCTGTTTTATTGACGTCTTTCCGCTGCTAAAACACTGATTGAGCGATTACACGAGTTATTATGCCTTTCAGTAAGTATACTAATATCTTTCAACATACCTTCAGGTGTCCTTTCTGTAACTGAGGAAGAGATGATCGCGTTTACTCGCGCGCCGCGTTGCCGCTTGAAATGAGGAGCCTAGCCTACAGCGATCTGTCACGCCACATCAAAGAGCGCCAAAACGCCATTTATTGTTTGAATTTCGTGATCAAATAGACAGAATTTGAAAGATTACACCTTGCTTATAATCGAAATCGAAAGTAATAAAACACGGAGCTTGTTATTTGGTGTTAATGGTGGTTAGGCTACAAAACTAACTTCGTTGTGTACTGTAAGTTACACATAAAGCACCGACACGCGACCAAGCGACGCGATACCATTCATTATATTATCAATGGTGAGCGGGCGACCGTTGGCGACCGGTGGGGCGTGTCCAGCGACGCGACAAAGTTGAGAAATGTTTAACTTTATGCAAATGAATTGCGATTTTCGCGAGCGACAACCAATAGGAGTGAAGTCCTATAATTCATGATATATGTCCATGTACATACAGTGGTGTTCACCATACTGACTGAATGGTTTCAGGGAACCCAGATAGACTGGTATTTGCCCGTTTGCTGCAGTTAAATTGCCGCGATGGCAAAGAACACTCACTGTTTCTCGTTCATCTTTAATATTATGCATTTTATGTACTGATTCCATTTATATTTAGACTTTTCCTTACAAAATATTTGTTTGTCGCGGCAATAAAACGTATTTGTTGTCTAGCATAGAGTAACTTCCGTTAATGTCACTCACAAACATTACTAGGCAACCAGTAGTGGGGAACACCCTCAAGCGCAGCCACAGGCAACCTGTAGCGACAAAGTCGCGTGTAGTGTGAACGGGGCTTAAGACATAAGGTCCATTGAGCCGGGCTGGGCGGGGTCTGGGTAGCAGGGGGTGGGGCGGGGCGTGTTCGGTACGCAATGAGAGTATCGCAATTCGAATCGCAGTTTTTCAGTTCGGTTCAAATATCGTTACACCCCTAACCATTACTGTCGCTCGTACTTTCAACTCTGGTCCAGTTTTTTGCTTTGATTTACCAGCCCGTTCTCATCCCAAGACGTCATCTAACTGACGCTTTTGACCATACGTCAACATCCGATGTTTTAGGGCATCCTTTAACGTCAGTTAGATGACGCTATCTAATCCTAACCCTACCCCAGACCTAAACCTACCAGCTAAAGGGTACCCTAAAACATTGGATGTTGACGTATGGTCAAAAGCGTCAGTTAGATGACGTCTTGGGATGAGAATGAGTTGAGAGATATTGACACCAGTTGCAAAGATTTTGGCAGTGTGTGTTGACAGATTTCATCGTGTATAATGGGTGCATACTCGCTGTGAAATCCTGTTATCTGAGCTGATTTCAGAACACGCATTGTTGGACTTTCAAAACCATGAAAACCTCCAAAAATCCCAAACTTTGACCGGTCGTGTCTGTAGTATAACACATGTGCAAGGGTGTGCTTTGAGGAAGCATGATATCAATCAACAGATCTACTAATGAAGCCTCTCTATGAGAGAATGGCACAGGAGAGCATGCCGCCTAACAGAATACGCTTTTGTCTCTTCATGTCCAGGGCTCCAGTATCTGCCGAGCTGCTATCCACGCTGGAGTGATCAAAGCTGGCGGGGGATATGTGGACCTCCTGGCTCTGGATAAGAGGAAAAGTTACACCGGGACCATGAAGAATGGCATTCAGTCCGAGAGGTACCCAGAACTTCACCTCTGCTCTGGTTTCTTCTCTTTGCTTTCTCTTAGTAACTCAATTCAGCGGTCAAAAGCCACGATGGGCCAAATCTGCCTGTGGCATGTTAGTGGTTAAAGAGTAATGGTGTGGTTTCTCATCGAGGATGGACCACACAGGGGCTCTTTGCTTATTCTCCAATGCTACGCGCAAAGTGCTTAAATCGACAGAATCGGCTCCAGTGTAATGAAATCTAACACCATCATTGAAGGAATCGATCCTCGCCTCTTAAACGGTTGCCGGCCTTGACCGGCCCATAAACTGAGCATAGGAAAGCCATTCACTGACAGCTTGGATAGATTTTCTCCTCACCGCACGCTATTCATATGATGCAATCTAGGGGAAATGGGGGGCAACCCGTCGTGAGAACTTTATTAACAAGGAAGTATTCACATGCTCTCCATATTACCATTGGATGGAAAAGTTGTTGGTGTCTGACTCAGTCCCGGTCAAGGATAATTACAGCACATCTGATGCCAACGAAGCAACACGTCCAATACACCAGCACATTAAGCCCAATCCATTTCTCAATAAATGAAAAGGCCAAGGCCAAGAACAGTAGTCAATAATAAAGAAAACTGAATGGAACCACAGCACGAGACGAGCCCTGAGCCAGTGTTAAAGGGATAGTTCACTTTGAAATTAATTTTTGGTATGTTTTAGCTTACCTCAAGGGCATCAAAGATGTAGGTGTCTTTATTTCCACAGTAGTTTCAATTGTGATATTTTTAGGTTAAACCGTTGTGTCTGTCAGTCATATAATGCAGGTCTATGGTCACCACCTCAAAGAGCATGCACAGAGAAGTCCAAATTAAACATGATTTAATGACTCGTAAATGTAAGTACACATTGATGGCCTAAGACACGAAACGAGCGGTTTGTGTGAGAAAACGAACAGTATTTATATCGTTTTTACCTCGTGTAACCACAGCCACGTCTAACTGATCTGACGGCATTTTGAAATGAGAGATTTCGGAAGTTTTACCTTTCACTGTGAATATCTTAACATATTTAAATATACAGGAATGGAAGACGATTTCAATATATCTAAATATGTTTAGTGAAAGGTAAAACTTCTGAAATCTCTGTGTAAACAATGAGTGACGGAGACGCGCAAGCGATCACTTCCAACGCATGCACAGACCGAAGCCCCTGTGCCGTCAGAACAGTTGGACATGGCTGTGGTTACACGAGGTAAAAACGATATAAATACTGTTCGTTTTCTCACACAAACCGCTCGTTTCGTGTCTTAGGCCATCAATGTGTACTTACATTTATGAGTCATTAAATCATGTTTAATTTGGACTTCTCTGTGCATGCTCTTTGAGGTGGTGACCATAGACCTGCATTATATGACTGACAGACAAGAACGGTTTGACTGAAAAATATCAAAATTGAAAATACTGTGAAAACAAATACACCTACATCTTGGATGCCCTTGAGGTAAGCTAAAACATATCAAAAATGAATTTCATGGTCTCCAGAGCTAATTTGAATCTAGCAGCTACGGGAATCATTGTAGTCGATTAGAGGGCATTGACACTCTTGGTTTGAACATCTACAAGAGTTAAGAAGATGATAAGACCGAGTCGACCCAAAGCTGAATCTTTATCGTTTCCTTTCTGACTGTCCTTCCCTGTGAAAAAGAAGTGTGCTAAATCTCAATGAATGTGCACTTTCTAATGTACTTTAAAAGAATGTTTTTAAAATCTGTACTTGCTGATAATAATAATGAAATAAAAGGCCACTTAAAGGATTAGTTCACTTACTCACCCCCATATCATCCAAGATGTCCATGTCATTCTTTCTTCAGTTGAAAAGAAATTAAGGTTTTTGATGACAACATTACAGGAGTTTTCTCCATATAATGGACTTCATTGGGAACCAAACGGTTCAAGGTCCAAATGAGTTTCACCAGACGATGAATAAGGGTCTCATTTCAAAAATAAATAAAAAAGTTTAAGTTTTATAAGCACAAATGCTCGCCTTGCTCTTTCTTATGATGCGCGTTCGTGACTCTCCTGTTCGAACTCGTTCATCAAAATGAACAAATCTTTTATCGAGTCATTTGGTTCATTCAACGAATGAAATGAACGAATTGACTCGAAAAAAAGATTTGTACTTAAAGAAATATGTACTTAAAGGGATAAGTTCTCCCCAAAATGTACATTCTGTCATCATTTACTCACCTTCAAGCTGTCCCAAACCTGTATGAATTTCTTTCACAAAAGAAAAACACAAAAAAAGACATTTTGAAGAATGTTTTTAACCAGACAGCACCCATTGACTGAAATAGTATGGAAATCAGTGGGACCCATCAACTGTTTGGTTACTTTCTTCAAAATGTCTTCAGCAGAAGAAAGAAACACATACAGGTTTGGTACAGCATTTTTATTTTTGAGTCCTACGTTCGGGGATCAAAAAAAGCCCACTAAAGTTCAGTTAATTACATTTAGAGTAATGTAAATGTAACATAGTTTGTAACATACTTTTTGTTAATCGTTTCTTTCTCTGTCTCTGTCTTGCAGTAAAACCAATACAGAAGGTGGTTCGTTCCGTGTCTTCGCTGTTAGAGAGTGAGACGCCACTGACGGGACACAAGAGATTTGCTTTACAAGAGATACCCCTTCCATCTTTCTCTGACTTTTGGAGGAAAGAGACATTTAAAGAAGACCAAAGTCTTCTCAAACTAGTTCAATCGATGGGCTTCCAAAGGTTTTATATACAATTGTGAACAATATTTTGACCACACATGCAACTCTTAATAAAATGCAGTGCAGTAGACATGGTATTTTAACAGCGGTGCTGGTTTAAATCGTTGTTGTTTTTAATCGAATAAGTCCGTTTACTTTTTTGGATTACATTCTATTAGTTTTGAATACATGCAAAATCTCTAATTTTTCAATACAAAATGCATATTGGTTACACTGTATTTAATCTGTAAATTTTTTTTTTTAATTTTTCTTTGTGCTTTATGTCAAATCAGTTTTTTTTTTTTTTGGAAGCCAGAGCAGGAATAGAGTTTAACAGTCACCACCAACTTATTTGCTTCGAGACTTATTTTTCAAATTCAATATATCCGTAGAGGAAAAAACAAACAAACCAACCATCGTCTCAAAGACTTTTTAAAACTGATTCCCTGTGATGAAAATGAATGGGAATTTTACTTCCGCAACCCGACTGTTGCGCTCTATCGCAATAATATTGAGTGTGTACAGTACAGTGGGGATCTGTTGGACTTGGACTGGGCAAACTGAGAAATGGGAAAGAAAAGGAGGCATAACTCCAAGCAAAAGAGAACTTCCCTTCATAATGCATGTGAGCCTTCCAGAGTCAACACTACTCGGTCATTATGGTAAAGGTGCAAAAACATTGAAACAATGTGCAGTCCTGGGAGAATTCAGCATCACTGAGTGCATGTTTAGGCTCATCTTTCATACCTTCGTTTTTGTTATTTATTATTATGTGTCCTTCAATCCCTGCTCAGAACTGCAAATTACGTGGAGCAGAACCAAATGTTTATGGATGTGACACATGATATGTGCTCACTTGAGAATCAAATGTCAACCCAGAGTCCTACGTTACTGCCAAAAGCAATTTCATTGGAAGTTTAACTTATTTTTATTTTGCACGGTGGCGGCTGAACATCGATTTGTTTAAACCACTTTGATACGGCAACATTATAAAAGCATGTAAAGTCATACATCTGAGAGGAAAGAGACTGCGGTCTAAAGTATGTCTTATCTAAATGCATATTTCCTAGTTGTACAGTGTTTGGAGTCGAGGATTCAGACTAAATATAGATGTTCGTATATGGAATATGTGCCGAGGAGCACTATAATCCCTTTTGAAGGCTTCTGTTTTGCTGCTTTTTACTTTTCACCTATTTACTTTCACGTTCTTGAATTGTTTACCTCAGTGCAGCAATATATTCGAGTATGATGTTTGTACAGTTTTTAAAAATGGTTCGTGTAAATATTCAGATTTGTGCTTTGTTTTCAGTATTGTCAGTATTTTAAGAGGATCTCCTCGGTTTTTTTTCAAAGCTATACGATAATTGTTTTGTTTTTTTTTGCACAAATTGAAAATAAGTCTATAAAAATCCATGATACTAAGATTGTGTCTGTATTTTGCTTCAGAAGGGTCACTGGATTTTTTTTATATGCTGTAAAAATTAATACACTTCATCTAATCAATAAGATTGTTGCAACAGATTACAAGCAATATTATTAATTAAATTGAACAAATAAGAATTGAGTAATAATTAACCAAATTAATTCCTTAAAAGATATTACACCCAAAAATTTAACAAAAAATATCTACAGACAGACGTCAAAGATTAATTAAGAACTATTTATATTATATTTACAACGTTGAAGACACCTGACGTTAACAGGCAGAATTACTGAAGGAGAAAACCATAATTTTAAAACAATCCTAAAAAAAAAACACCAATCACCATAATGGTGACTTGAATGTATGTTTTTTTGTTTGTTTGTTTGTTGTAAGTTTTACTCATTTTAAGTGGTTAACTTTTGAGGAATTAATTTGATTAATGATTACTCAATTCTAACTTGTTAAATTTAATTAACAATATTACTTGTAAACTGTTGCCACAATTTTTTTGATTAGATAAAGCGTATTTGTTTTACAGTGCAATAAACAGGATATGTTGATTTGAGACATATCAAAAACTCCCCTAGACCACACAAGCACTGGTCAACTCTTCATACTGTCTCTTTTTAAGTCTACAAAGAATAGTGGGAGTTTACAGATTACCGATATTTCGATATAAATGATTTATACTTCAGTCGGGGTGATCGGTGGATGCACAACATGTTATAAAATGAATTCTTGGTACGAATACCTGAAAGCAAGTAGTTTGTTGGAAGAGAGCTAGACTGAACGAGGCCTGTCCAAAATCGGAGGCGAGAGTGGCAGTTAGGTTCTTTGCCAGAGCACATTCTTACTGAACAGTTTATGAAACGGGTTGTCTACGTGCTTGGAGATGCATGTTATATTTCACACTCTGGCCCGGTGCAGGTAGTGCAGCATGATCAACATCTCTGTTCATCCCGGAACAAAATTCTAATCAACCAATCAGATTTGAGGGACAAGTCTATAGTTTATGTCAAGTTTAGGCTTACAAACAGGGTTAGAGCTTCCACACTTATCATTTCTCTGATAGGGATAAGTCATGGGTTGGGGTTAGGTTTAGAGAAAGGGATTTGGTTAGGATTACATTTTCAGACAGGAATGTTGTTCCAGGATCAACAAAATATGTTGAGAAATGATCATTTAGGACGTGCGATGATGGAGTCAAAGCAGGCGAAAACAATATGTATTTATAATAAACTGCAACTAAAAATAATCATGTACACCCTTGAATAACTGATAAAAGTACAAGTATAGATTTTTTTTCATATTTAAAATGAAATAAAAAATATATAATTTTCAGGTGCTGGTTACAGCAATAAAGAAGGTTTGCTGGATCTAGATGTAGATGCAGGAGCTACTTTTATTAAACACAAACTCAAAGAAACAAAATACTCAAAAATACAAAATAGTTTTGACCCACTTAAGTACGACTTAAGTATGTCTTTATGTGTCATTTTATAATACTTCTATTGTCTTTGAAATATTGTTAAAGTTTAGGCTACTTCTGAATGTACTGAAGCATTTATGGTAAACTAACCCAACTTTGTTTTAACCCAACTTTGGGTCAAATATGGACAAACCCAAATGTTGGGTTAAAACAACCCAGCAATTTTTAGAGTGAAAACTTTACAGGTTGTGGCCCTTATTTAATATATTATTTATATATATTTAAATTTGTCAGTTTTATACACATTTTTAATTATAAAGTTGTAATATAGTATATTTAAAATGTATTAACTTTAAATGTAATATTAAATAACATGTGCAATTTGTAATAATACACTGCTATTATGCTGCTTTATTTTAACTCAAATTTGGGTCAAATATGGACAAACCCAAATGTTGGTTTAAAATGCAATTAAAAAAGTTACAGTTGAAAGTAAAAGTTGAAGTTGGGTTAAAATTTTGCATTACATTTTTAACCCAACATTTGGGTTTGTCCAAATTTTACCCAAATTTGGGTTAAAACAACCCAGCATTGTTTAGAATGTATTTTTGACACACTCTAAAAAATGCTGGGTTGTTTTAACCCAATTTTTGGTCAAATATGGACAAACCCAAACATTGGATTAAAAATGCAATTTAAAAATGTAACCCAACAGCTGGGTTTAACCATATTTGACCCAGACCTGGCATTTTTAGAGTAGCTACAGGATTTCAAAATAAGTGTGCATCTTATTATAAAACATAATTATTTGAAATATACTTAAAATAACCTTTTTTACACTCTAAAAAATGCTGGGTTGTTTTAACCAAATTTTGGGTCAAATATGGACAAACCCATTGGGTTACATTTTTTATTAAATTATAATTATATAATTATAAAATTACATTTTTAACCCAATGTTTGAGTTTGTCCATATTTGACCCAAAATTGGGTTAAAACAACCCAGCATTTTTAAGAGTGTAGTTATCAAAAACTAAACTGGCTTAGCAACTTCTTAAAATGAGAATCAAAATCTCTACACAACTTCTGCAACTTGATGAAAGAAAACTATTATGGATAGTTTGCATCTGTAAAAAAAAAAAAAAAAAGAAACAAACAAAACTCCATATATTGTTTTGAGGACATTTTGTTTCTGTTTGACTATGGTAGACGGGTTTTTCATTGGTTACATGATTCTGTTCAGCCCTTTAATCTGCTCTTCCTCATGACGGAGACAAGAAGGAATTTGCCAGGTTTACCATAATAGCATCTCTGAATACTGCTTCAAACATGCTGACATTTCAGACCTGTATTTATTGAACATCTGCTGTTGAAACTGCTTGCTGTTTAAATGGTCGGATACTCTGGATCTGGAACATAACCGACAAGCGCAAGAACAGTGTTGGGTGTTTATAGAAACCTCATGTCTGATGATTTTATGATGACATTAATAGGAAAGAAAAAAAAGATCTCTTAAATGTCGAGAGCGAATTGAGACATTTGCTTCATTTTCCTGATCTTTTCTTCTCTATTTTGTTTCCGCCAAATATTATTATTATCTTTATCTTATCTTTCTTGTCCTAAGACACCCAAGAGTCTATAGCTCTGTCTTGTGGATTAAGGGGAATGTATTATTGTTTTGAATGACTGATTACCTGTCATAAATCAGGGTCTGAAATCTTTTACTTTGGACAACATAAATCTTTCAGCTATGATTAAAGAGGGCAGTTCTTACCCTGGCATTTCACGTAGATCTACATGATATTTGTGTTAATTACATGAGTTTGTTCCGGTGCGGCGCGCAAAAACGGGACATTTTTTTTGCTTTGTGAAATAAACTGTTTCTGAAAACAAAGGAAAAATGCAAAAATGATGATTCATCTTTAATGGTGAATGCAAACTTAAATATCCATATATTTAGGGTCATGAGATTATTATGTTAGGATATCAAATTATACATTAAAATCGTTAACAGTCCCATTACATGTTTTTCCAAATGTTTTACTGCAGCTGCCCTACTTCTATGATTGTTTGATTGAGTTTGCGACTTGAGTTTTTGACACTTCAGCATTGGAAAATGTCATTTGGGATGACTCAGAGACATTAATTCACATTAACTGTTGTGCATGATGGAAACAATCTAGCCGAAGGCAGCAGTCAGCAGTCTTAAACGGCAGACTGAATCATAGAACAAAACCGTTTTCATTCAACTTCCAACTTTTTAGCTCAGTCACTAAGTTCAATACAGACATTTGACACAAAGAGAATATACAACCCCAAAACTCCAGAGAGGTTTGTTGTTCCGCATGCTGAAGAGATTGAATTATTGCAGGATTTGCATTGGTATTTGTGAGGATTCATGGAAAGGGAAAATTGTTGAGCAAAGCCAATTAATACTTTCAAAACTATGAGGGGAACTGCAGTACTATATTTGTCATATTCATTTATCCCAGAAGTCTTCAAAACTGATTATTAGCTGGATTGATGATTTGGCAGAAGTAGGCTAGGGCTAGACCAGGACTGTCATGGAGGAGGACAGAAACGATGAGTTCTTTGATCAAAATGAACTCTGGGGAATGAGAGAAAGGAGGGGATAAGGTCTGGAGAACTGACAACTGGAGGAGTGTTTGTGGAAACTGAGAATCGTTCCTCCTTTCTGAATCATTCTTTCTAGTAAAAATTAGGCCATGGCGGTATTTCTCAATGCCACACTATACAAAACATTACTTAATGAAGTAAGCAAGGGTGCAGACTACACTCCACAATGAATGTCTTATTTATATTGTGTTTGCATTGATGAAAGCATTCATGAAAGTGCATAAATTGAGTTTTTGGGTGAGTCTATTTGATTCACGGATGTATTTGAAATTTGATTCAGGAGTGATTTTTGCAAATTCAGAACGAGTTGATTCAATCTGATTCAGAATGAGTTTCGATTCAAGTCATTTTAATTAGATAATTTTATTCAGTATTTTTTAAGTTAATTAGGATTATGCAAAAAGCTTCTAATGTGTCGTAGGTAAGAAAAAGAAAAGGACAAATGTTTATTACTAGCCTGGATGCCAGCCTGAACTCCGCCCACAACATTTTTTGGTCGGGAAGTTCGGTCTGGATTCGATCCATTGAGGAGTAATTATGATCAGGCAAAAAACGTTTGGGCCAATCAAATTGCCAGGGCGGGCTTTATACGATGATGGACAGATAATCTGCAAGGATCATCACGTTATCAAAGAGCGCTTAACTGGTTTCCCTCGAAGATGACTGCAGCTGGAGAATTGAGATGTATAGATTCCGCTGTCGCGTCTGTTGTGAAATAAATCGACAGCGCATTAATTTTAATAGACAAACAGAAAAATGCAATTAAGGCATTTGTCGATCGGAAAGATATTTTTGCCGTCCTTCCGAATCCTACATGATTCAGCAAAAGTGTAACTTGTCAGCTGGCTCTGACGGTCGCTAAGTTAAGAAGATGGGACGTAATGAAAAGCCTGTGGTCGTTGCGGTTTCTCCTTTGGTCGCACT